ACCTGAATGTGTCTGCAGTTCATTTTCTGAAGTTCTTTGCTCCAGATTTATTTTGAGGGAACATATTGCCAAAATCATTCGGAATTTTATTGATTTACATGTAGATGGTATTTAACCAAAATTTCTGTGATAAAATTTGCCATATTCTGCCCCGAAACAAAGAATCAATCAAATTGTTGACTGCTCATGTACACACCACAATTACATATAGAAATATTGCCCATACAGGAAGGCTTTAGGGAACCAAAATGTGGAGAAACATATTTTCAAAAGGAATGTCAATTATTTTGTGTATGTAAATTGATGAAGCTGGAGAATATTCCAGAATCAATTCTTGGGTATAGTACAAAAATAGTATTTTTTGTCCGTGATTTTTTTTCAAACCTCAATAACTCAGTCAATTTACGTCACAAAGGTTAATAAACTATATATTCTTGGTGGGGGAATACAGGAGCAGGTTTGTACAGGTTTATGATGCTGTATGACATCATCTCAATTTTGGTGGTATGACATATTTTGCTGGTAACTGACCCAAAACATCTTGATAGCAGATGGATGTTATGCTGAAAACAAATTGAAGTTGTGTTGAAAACATTTTGGAGACATCGGACAACACCGCAAGCGCTACGCAACGCAACACAATATGGCCCTAATCCATTGTGTTGCTCAGTGAGAGCAATAAAACGCTCCGCATTGTGACCGCAACGGGCGAATATTTTTCTCTCTAGGGGTTGCGGAGCGCTAGAAGCGCAATATTTTCGCAATATTGCGAAAATATTGCGCGATGCGCAATATGTCCGCAATAACACCACAATATTGCGGAACGTGTGCAATATTGCACTTCATAGCTATCAAAAGAAAAGAAAAACCAAAAACAACTTTTTGATCTATGTAGAAATAAAAAGCAGTACCTTGTATTTTATATAGAAATTGAAAAGGACAAGCCAGAAACAAAAGAAAAGACACAACTGTTTATTTGATTACCTTGTATTGTAATTTAGTAAGGACAAGAAAGAATCAACTACTTTTTCTTTTTGGCTACACTTGCCATATAAGCATGGAGAGCAGTTGCTGCCTCTGCGAAATCCCCCTCCGGCATAATACCTTCTTTAAGCCACGCTTGGGACCCAACTAGCCGTTCCATCGTCTTAGGTAACATTCCACCTCGAGAAGGAGTGCAAACATCAGCAGCCGCTGAAAATGTTCGCTCACAAGCACATGAGGTTGCCGAAATCGCCAAGTAATCACGAGCAAGCTGTGCAAGAATAGGGAATTGATGCTGATGTTCCTGTGCAGACGCAGGATTAGTATAGTCCAACCAGCATGAAAGAAAAGGAAACAAACGGACCTTCCACCAAGCAAGGGGAGATTGATCCTTCTTCATTGGATACTTTCCTCACCTGTGGCGCCTACTCCCGTCGAGTACCAAGTCGATGAAACGTGGCGCCTTTTCATAGGGCTCCGACTCGACGATCTGTGCTAGATCCCCTAAGATGATCTAGAGCGGAAAACAACCCCCTCATAAACACTGTCTAAGTCATTTTGAAGTCTTGAAAGTGTTAAATGTATCATTCATAGCCATTATCTTCGTTTTCTGTCTCATCCGCAACAAAAAAAAAATTCAGTTTACAATTCCAAAGGTTCTCAGATCACTCAGATCGATCTACCACCTCTCAGATCAAATTTTGAGACCTTAGATTGATCTGAGGGCTCTCAGATCGATCTGAACACCCAGAACAACCTGATAACTCATTAAACATGTATGTAAATACATACCCTGTTGGTGTTTCAATGAAACTTATGAAAAAATGTATGCTTTGTTCCTACATAGTATGTTCATAATAAAAAGGTCACCAAGCCTGACCCAACTTCAAAGTGAACCTGTCAAATCAATTTAAAGCATCTGGGAGCCACATGTGGGAGGCAAAAGCTTTGAATCAAACTTCTTCAATCAAAATCAACTTGGATCCTTTTTCTCAAATTCAATATCAATATTGACGAGTCTCACCAATCTGCAAGCATGATTAGCATTAAGTAAATCATGATTGAATAGCTTTTACAACCATTGATTGTTCAAGTAAGTGGAGAGCAAGACTTTGTGTCAATATTCGTGTCAATATAAAACTGAATTGTAATTAATATTCTACTTTGAGGTGATGATAGTCTCTGTTTCAATAACTGTGCAGTAAATAGTACAAGCATATGAGCTTTTTCAGGAGATGTGATATGATTCTCAGACTTACATTCTGCTGGAAATGGTAATGCTGAGTCGAGAAGATCGAGTTGATTGAGGTTGGAGTTTTCAATGACATAGGTCTAAGTATATATATGACATAAGGTCAACAACAACAATCAAGCCAACACTCCGACCGGTTCTCTGTGCTTTACTTCTCACACTATCTCATCACCACCATAACCATTACATTATCCCGTTTATTCCTTATCCCCCCGTCTATCGATTCATTGACTCAACCAAATCGCAATTCACCAAGCATCATGTCAACACGATCGGGTAAACGCCTCCGCTCTCCTGCGGCTCCTCCTACTGAAGCACATAATAATCACAAAAGTAGTACTAAGAAACATACCAATTCCAGCAATCAAGTTTCAAAGCGGGCTAGAGGAAATCAACAAAACAACACACTCAATCAGCCAGATGACGATTTCAATCGTGATGCACCAGACTCACGCAATCCTGCCTTGAATGATACCGAAAATCAGCCAGAGTTCACTTCCAATTTCTCTGCCTTGAACTTTGACAATGTCGAGGAACAACTTGAAAAGTGGACGCTTGTAGAGCTTAGGAACGCCCTTTCCAATCAGAAAAAGCAAACTTCTAGACACAAAAATCAAGCTCCACGTGAAGTCAAGACGTTTGTCGAGTTAATTCGCCGGGACTACGAGAAACGCATGTTGATGGCTGCACTTATTGGTGGAATCAGCAAGACTATGATATGGTCGCTCGTGTTAGTTTATGCTCTGTAGAATCTTTTAGTTTTTGTATACTGACAAATTGAAAGTGCAGTGATGCAGGTCTGAAGAAAAAAAAAAAAAAGAACTGTTATGCTCGATTTTTGTCATTTTGCAAGGAGGCTCTTGAGGTTGAAGGTATGTGAATGGATGTAATTATCAATATATGTCTTGTCTTCTGCCGACAATTGATAAGCTATCATCTATTCGTTTTGATTTCAGTTCCTTCTCGAACGGATCAAGCTGGATGGGGCCGTCGCAACAAGATCCTGAGCGATATGTGGTATGCGAAGAGTATCGATCAACAGATGGTCTTTCGAGACCCGTTCTTCTCTCGCTCTAGCCAAGCTTCCCGACTTATCCTTGTCAAATGAAGATTTTATTGTTGAAATGGAAGATGACGATGGAGAGATTATTGAAAACAAAAATCCAGCAGCCCAAGTAACAGCCCCCAAGATTCACCAGTTATCCGAAAGCGATGAGTTAAAGTATCGACCAATCTTTGAAGAACTGGTAGATATTGATAAAGTTCATGCGAATCACGGGAAGCCAGAATCAACCGACTCGATGCAAACGATGCAGCTCAAGTCTTTAGCAGCATTTCGATCCGCACATCATGATGTAAGAAGTTTCCCTCCAGGCTGAAACTTCGAAACTTCCATTACTTACATGAAAGATATAGTTTGCCACAGTTTGCCAGCGTTTCCACATTCACTATCACCTGACTGCACTCAGCTGCGATGTTGAAGATGGCTGGATGCAAGTTTTTTCAACCAACAAGACATTCTCGACGTGGGCTGATGAAAATTTGAAACTGTCAACAAAGTTCAAGTATTATGTACATGGCAAGGTAGTGGCTCAGGAAATCGAGAAGAAGGCACCTCAACCTGTCGACGCGCGCAGGGGTGAACTCACTAGAGAGCTCAACAAAATGCTAAGTAAGTCATTTTCGTTAAAATTCTTCTAATGACAATGTTCCATCCAGTTAACCATTGTTGTGTCAAATTTACAACACAAGGCATACACATGCCCGGTAAGATCTTCCCAAAAACAGGGAATCCTTTCAAAGTGATTGCGGACAAAGGGTGGCCAATCCGACTCAATCTTAAACGTCCAGAAAGTTTACTCTTACCGGAAGAGTTGGCCTTGGGTTTTCATGATTGCTACGATGCACTAAAGAGGAACTGGCTCAGCGACATTCAAACGGACACTTCACTATTGAGAAGATTCCGGCTTCCGAAATGATTACATTGAAAAGAAAACCCAAGAACAAATCAAGTAAAAAACATAAATCGAAATCAACTCAACCACACGCAGCATCACCTGTAAACACTCAAGAACACATCCAAAATCAAGGAACTTCGACTCAAGTGGAGTCTCAACCTATCTCTCGATCTCAGACCCTTTCTGATCAAAGTCAATCACAGAATGGTGGATCATCGAAGAGAAATAAATCAAAGAAACCGAAGAAACCAGCTAAGAAGGGTTGCCGGGATGATGATGAATCCTCCGAGTACGAGACAGCATCGGAGACTGAGCCAGATGAATCTGAGTCAGAGTCGGACTGAAATCCTCAAAAATGTATCACTTGTTCACAATCGACCAGATAACTTGTTTACATATCTTTTTGACTACACCTCCCTTTTTGTACCTTGCAATTTCAAAGATGTCCCTGATCTAGCAGCCAAACTACTTATATTTTTGATTCTTCCGACCTACGTACATGTCTCTGATACAATTTAAAAATTGTTTGCTTCTTTTCTGTCAAGTTATCATCAAATTTGTTTCTAACAGAAATTCATATGAACCATTCAATCAAACCAAGATGCAAAGGTAAAGGAAGATCCATTGAAGAGATTATTGACTACTAATTCAATAAGATCGATCAGGAGAAATAAGATCAAAAGATTAAAATCCCGAAATCATTGGGATATTTATAAAATCAATTCGGGCCATTCCTTTACTTCATTCAGTCTTTAGAAATCTTTGAGTCATTTGAACCAAATCATTTCATTATACGTACAGTTTATTTTTTGCATTGGATTCATGTTTTTTGATTCTTTTTTGAAGGTCTACTCAATCTCATCGCGGTGGGTTGAATTCCAACAATCCACTTGATGGTTGATTTATTTTCATGTTTTGATATGCTTCGATACATACATTTGATCAATTTGATTCATATCGTTTGCATGTGTTGATTCACTCTGATTCACTTCATCGAATTGGTTTGCGGTCTTAATAAACAGATAGTTGTTTCGAAAAGGTTTTGTGTACAAGTGGATGGATTGAAGCAAGGACGCCGGGTTGTAGGAAGTCTTCACAAGGCCTTACGAGGCCTCTGAGAAGTTTGAGAAGGGTGAATGTTGAAGAGAGAGATGGGTTGAACTAAAGTACTTCGATGTACATACATACATAGATTGAGGGTAAAAGGCGAAGTCGCCAGATGGGTCTGGGTATACCCGTGTCGAGTGCCAATGAGTTATCAGATTGATCTGGTGAGGCAGATCAATCTGGGACTCTCAAACTGATCTGAAGGGGCCTCTGAAGGGGCCAGATTGACTCATGGGCATCAGATTGATCTGAGTGTTCACATTGATCCGAGTGGTTCAGATCAATTTGAGAAGCCCAGATTGATCTGAGGGCTCTGAGAGCCCTCAGATCAATCTAAGGTCTCAAAATTTGATCTGAGAGGTGGTAGATCGATCTGAGTGATCTGAGAACCTTTGGAATTGTAAACTGAATTTTTTTTTGTTGCGGATGAGACAGAAAACGAAGATAATGACTATGAATGATACATTTAACACTTTCAAGACTTCAAAATGACTTAGACAGTGTTTATGAGGGGGTTGTTTTCTGCTCTAGATCATCTCAAGTGATCTAGCACAGATCGTCGAGTCGGAGCCCTATGAAAAGGTGCCACGTTTCATCGACTTGGTACTCGACGGGAGTAGGCGCCACAGGTGACTTTCCTTGCAGATAGTCCTCGAGCTCAGTGTTGGTTTTGTTGGTAGTAGAGTTAGATACTCCAAAGATGTCAAACGTATCGGGTTTGGTATTGGTGCAAGCAGTGTTGTCTGGAGTTGGGGATAGTTCTTTCAGATTCTCCTCTGATTGTTCCAATCGTGAGTTGAAGGCGTTCTCAATGGCCAAGTTAGCAGTGATATCTTGCTCGGGATAATGTATCAAAAAAAAATTTGCCCGAAATTGAGGATTGACGATCGTCGCCAGCATGATGCTTTCGCATTCAACAGCTTCACTCTGATACTTGCTGAGCCACTTGATCATCTTGTTGATTGATTTGACAAGGCTTGAATACTCAAGCGTTTCGGCTTGAAGGACTTGGAGTTCTGAAATCACCCGCTTATATTCTGCAAGAACTGTACATCCGGTAGGTCCATTTCCTTCAACTCGAGCCGTGGCATCTACAAAGGTCTACAGACAAATGTAGGAAATTAGTTTGTTATTATATTTGAGTAATGTCAGTTGAAAAGAAAGACCCCATACCTTCAAAACCTTATTAACTAATTCGACTGCATGCCATTCCGCAGGTGAAATTGTAATCCCCTTGAAAAAGCGCGTCTTGCAATCGGCTGCAAGCATGGAGTTGATAACCTAGAACATGATATGAATGCAATAAGTATTATAATAACATCAAAAATAAAAGAGAGATTTTCGAACATACCGCATGGGCCTCGCATGCAACCTTGCGACTATCGTAGTGGCTATTCCACCTCGTCTTGCATGGATGCTTCAGCATCCTACCCTGATATCCCATACAAGTTGCCCGGGCTTTGAAATCACTTCGCCTCGAGGCACTACTCGAAATTTGGCCGCTGACGGTATTGACCTGTAATAAGGAACAAGGTACAGGTTTAATCAGTTTAGTTGAAGCTACGATCAAAAGATTGAAAAGAATAGAAAGGAAATGAGGAAAAAAAACTCACCTTTACGAGAGCTTGTGCAACAAGATCGTTTATGTCACAAATGGGGATTTCTGAATCCCCAACTTCACCATCTTCGTCATCAACTCCGTCAGGCTTGTCAGGCAAGCCTTCATCACCGTCTTCGTCTGAGTCTGAATCGTCCATCTCGATTCCGTCGTCGCCATCGTTCACCTCAAGAATAGGAATAGGAAGTGGAATCCCTTCAGGAATCGAAGGTTTCGAGGTATTAACTTTCTGACCAAGGACTCTGAGGCCATGCCCAACTGTTAAGTTCAGTTTGTGGGCATAGCATCGAATGTGGTGTGCGGAACTGTCCCAAGTAACTGGGCTTTCGGCATCGGCAAACATCGCTTGAAGTTCTTGAGCCATAGTCACATTATTGCCTCCACTATCGGTCGTCTGGGCCAACACTTAAAGGAAAGCAACAACAAATTAGCAGATAATCTCAGACCATGTAGGCCTTAAACTTTGTGCTCTTGCGCTGATTCATAATCCTA